CTTGTGGACCGTCTGAGCTGGATGGCTCATCTTGCGGTAGTGCCGGACACCATCGACGGTGTGGGTACAGCGACGCTGTTTGTGGATCGTGCCTTTCGACAACATGGACTCCTAGAGTCAATTGTCTCTGACAGAGACCCATGCTTCACTACGAAGTTTTGATCGACAATCTTCAGGGTGCTAGGCACCAAGTTGACTATGTCAACAGCGAACCATTCGCATACCGATGGTCAAACTGAGCGCGTGAATCGTGTCGTTGAAGGCCTCCTTCGCAGCGTCTGCGCCGAGACACCGAAGTACTGGAGCGCTATGGTGCCGCTCGCAGAATTTGATCTGAACAATGCAGTGCATTCATCTACCTCCTACACACCGTTCTACGTGAGCGGGCTTGTTAATCCTTGCGTTACGCTGGCGCCGCCATCCCATGGTTTAAAGCTTGGTTAGGGAAGAATATTCGAGCAGCTAGCTGATGTCAGACCCCTCACCGTGCGTAAAGTAGTCGATGACCTCCTGTCTACCAGGCTGAGTGTCTTACGATATGATCGCGATGCGATAGCTGAAAGCCAAGATTTGTAGAAGGAATATGAAGCCGGGAGAGGAAGAAGAAATATTGAAAACTACGAGGTCGGAGACCTGGTTATCAAAAAATTCTTAAAACCTTCATACATATGCAGCTTCTGCTGTCTTTGAGACGAAGCTCCATCGACAATTTATTGAGCTTTGAGGTTGTGGCTAAGCGAGGCCTTGCGTATACGCTGAACCTTCCGACAAGAATGCGCACCCACCCGGTTATTTATGTGGGCTTGCTTAAGCCGTACCGGTATCCAGCGCAAGTGAACGCGGAAGTGATGGCGCCGGGGCGGTGTCCAAATGCACTCGGCCACCCAAAGCTGAACCAGCAAATGGCTCTGAGCACTGAGTGCAACGCTTTCTGTTTCCAACGGCACAAGGCGCTCCACCGTCGCACGAAGTGATGTATTCGCCTGCTCGATGGCTTGGAGCTGCTCCGACAGAGCACGATTATCGTCAACACAGAAAAAGTGGGTACACAAAGTTCTCCAGATCCTCGAGGTCTTCTGCACAGCGGTAGGCGACCTCGAAGAGTTGGTCGGCAGAGTGTCGATGACGACGGACTTTGTCTTTCAACGCTCAAAGATCATCGTGTGTCACTGGACGACGATTTACCAAGTCGTCATTGTCCGCCGCCAACTGTTCTCGATGGTTTTGATGGCGTCTGCTATCACGTGGAAGGCTTTGTGGGTCGAAGTCGTCGACAGGGTTCAACCCACTTGTGAAGTGGCGGCTATACCTAAACTCTGAGAACTCGTGGAAGTTTGAGGTGCCACATCAGCAAGAAAGCCGAGACGTCGTGGACGCTCATGATCGAAAGGATCATGAAGCATCGCGTCGTCGTGCGCCCGCGCTTCTCGGCAGTAGCCCGGGAAGTCGAAGGATCATGAGCCGATCTCAAACAATGGCTTTGAGCTGCTGTGGCCGCAGACCTACCCGTGTGAGAAACCACAGAGTTCGCGGAGGCGAATTGGATTGTTCCATATGTCGCAGGGCCACAGTACGCAGGAAGTCGGCGTTGCGCCTTGAGTTTGACAAACTTAAATCTAAGATGGCGCTCTATGCGCACGTGCACTTCCTTGTGGATTCGCTGCAATGCAGACAGCCAAGAAGGTTTGCGGTGCCTTTGCACCTATCGCTCAATAAGCTCATCATCATTTGCAGCGGTTTCGCGGGGAGTGAGCACCATAGGGATGGTCCGCATTGCGGGTACAGGAGCGCCTACCTTCTGAGCGAGCATTCGAAGCCGGTACCGATTCATTGGTATCTCTTGCGGCACCAACAAGCGAGCCCGCAGAAGTTTTCGCTGATCAAGCTGAGCTTGTGTATTGGCCGGGGTTCGACTACTTAGACGCCTAACGATCAAGTGAACGCGTCTTTCGCTTCAGTGGCGGGATCCGCCGAGCGGAAGCCGTATTCCACACGAGATTCTAAGACCGAACGTGGATATGAGCGCAGCAGAGCCGCCCTGTGAGCAGCGTCCAATTGCTGCTCTTGTGCCTCGTCGAGGCGATTGGTAGTATAATCACTTCCCCCGGAAGCCAAGAGGTCGGGGAACGGACATGGTGTCGTGCCGTTGGCACACTTCATCCCCCTCGTCATCCCGTGCTGGGAAAGAAGTGTCTGACTCGTAGTCAACATCCTTCAAGTCCGAAGACATCCATCGCCCAGGGAGGGCGCGGTGTGTTGCTCTCGGTTGCCGAGGGTTTGGGATATTTTTCTCGTGAAGCCGCGGACGTACTGTCCGGAGATGCACCCTGTGCAGAAGAAGAAGGGACTTGCCCGCGGGCGCCGCCGCTACCAGCCAGGCTGAGGGTTTTGCGTGTCGAAGACACAGGGCTCATAGAGCGGAGAATGATTAAAGTTGTACTTAAAGAACGTTAAGGTGTCTCAGACACGTGAGTCTCGTATGAGGCGACCGTTAAATTTGAAGTGGGGATATTCACAATTTTAATGGTGGAAAGTGTAACGCGACTACACGTACCCTTCTATGAAGAGGTGGGTCACACAAGACGGTGCGACCAACATTGGAGTGGATTACACAAGGTAATGTAATCACACAGTGATGTGGCTACACCGTATCAAGAAGCCACCACGTGGCAGGATTGCCAGTAGTAATGCACATTACTACATTAATTAGGTACTGCCATATTAATTTGATATTACTATACTAATTAGGAACCACTTGAGTCGAAGATATTAACAGCTCTGCCGCAACTAAAACAGTTTAATACAGTTTCGATTCTGAACAGAAGTGAGTGGTTGTAAAGGCTTGACAACGACATGAAGGTACTATGTAAAAGCTTCAGATCTGATCTCAACTGTTTCAGCCACTGTTGATTTAAGCTAGGCAGATCTTTCTTTTTCTAGATAAAGCTACTTCTCACATAGTTACCGATCACGAGGTGAATAATGTCGAAGTGTCTTCTTTCCTCTAAACTGCATATCTAAGATCCAGCCCATGGATGCTGGGATAATCTCCGAGTTCAGGTGACATTACAGACGTTATCATCTTCCGAATCCTGTGGATCGTGACGATGAAGTTAAAACCATCATCTATAAGATCGATCAGCTAACCGCAATAAAATGGAGCAAAACAGATGAGAAGAGATATCAGTAGCTGCCGTGATCAATTGTTTTTTTTTCGCCACACTGGTCGCCTTGCAGGGCTACCTCAAATATCGGTGCCTGCAGCGGGGATTGCTGTAGCTCTTTGCTTAGAGGAAATTTAGCTAAGGTCACCGACCTTTCGTTCTTCCCGAGAACCAGTACAAATGTAGCGGATTGCAATCCGCTACTTCCGAGTACTAACTTAACGAAGGCAAACAAACCTGGAAGAAGGCATCCATGCTTTCTTATTGCTGTGAAAATCGAAACCCAGTTACTCTCCTGTCTTAGGATTGAAACAGCGAGACTTATTGGCCTTTCTAATGAACGATGATTTGAGCTTCTCTGACCCATCTGCGCTGGCAGCAAAGGGAATAATGATGCGGTTCTCTAATGCAGAAGGGAAACTAATAGTTTTGTCAACCTTTTAATTTAAAAGCTTATGATTATATGCAGACAACCCCCCCCCTTTGTCGTATCTACGTCCCTTGTTGTATGATGGTCTTTTTTGGAACCATGGAATGGAATAAATCAACAAAGACATCAATTAGGAAACTCCCACATAAAGTATGTTGCAAACATTCACATCAGTTTCATCCATGTTGATTTACATCCTTCAGCTCGTACCGAGCAACGACTGCTAAAAAGCGCTGAAAGGGCAGCATCGGTTACTGCCTGATATGCTGTACCATTCTCACCATGGAACGCAGCTTGTTCCTCGCTTGAAAGCGTTGCAGCCACCCATTGCATCCTCGCGTAAGCCAAGTCGGTCGGCAAAGACTTTTGCTTTGCTACATGCCTTGTCTGGCATTGAAGCACCCATGTTGTCAAGGCTATATCGAGCTGCGGATGATGTGCAGCCCGGGCCGTTTGATCAAAAGCTCAACATCTGTCATGGTCTCGGGCTCGCTTTTTGAAGATGCTGCTGATAGCAGATTGAGAGATTTCAACGCCAAATTTTGAGTAGCCCATGTCGCGAGCGCACTTTGACTCATCTACTGATTTTTGGCCTTTTGATTGTAGACCTCGAACTTCTGCACATTTGTTAAACGTGCTGGTGGCAAATTTATTGTATATGAAATTTTGCAATTCACTTCACCTCGAACGTTCTATACTAGAACCAGTATAAGTGTAGCGGATCGCAATCCGCTAACTCCAAAAGAATCCAAGAACTTTACTCAAGACAAATACTCTCTTCCATTTAGAATCTTACTGTATTTCTTCGCATTTCTTGCGGCACAGCCGCCCATATCTAAATGTATAGGCTTTCAAATCAAACAGTAAAACCAAATTAAAATGCATAATTACTGGCAGTCCAATCACGTAGTGGCTTCTTGTCAAGGTGAAGCCACACCATTGTGTGGTCACACCATCTTGTGAGACCCACCCCTTCACACAAGGGGATGTGTGGCCCCGTTGCACTTTCCTCCATCAAATTGTGAATACCCACAATTTAGATTTAACTGTCGACTCGAACGAGGCTTGCGTATCTAAAACACCTTTACGTCCCAAGGCGCGACGCCGACTTCCTTCGTATTGTCGCCCTGCGACGTATGAATTAATACATCACGCCCGCGCAAGCTATGTGGATTTACACAGGGGTGAGTCTAAAATCACAGCAGCTCAGGGCCATTGCTTGAGCTCAGCTTATGGCCCTTCGGCTTCACTGGCTATTGCCGAGAAGCGCAGGCCGTACGACGACGCGGAGCGTCATGATCCTTCTGATCATAAACGTCCACGACGTCTGGGCAGTCTTCCCGAAGTGGCAACTCAAAGTCCCACGAGTTATTGGAGTTTGGGTATCCCCGCCACTTCACGGGTTTGACCCTGTTGACGACGTCGACCCACAAGACAATTCACGCGATAGTGGACACCACAATTCTCGTCTAGAAGAGTCGGTAACGGACGATAACGACTTGGTCGATCACCGTCCGATGACTTGAGATAATCTTTGAGCTTTTGAGGACAAGGTCCGTCGCCATCGGGACTCCGCTGATCATAATGCTGGGGTCGCATACCGCTGTCGATTGCTTGGAGTACGTTGCACACCGACTGCTTCACGTTGAGGATTATCGCGCTCTGTAGGAGCGGCTCTTAGCCGTCGAGCAGACGAATGCGTCACTTCGTGTGAAGATGGAGCGCCTTGTGCCGTTGAAAACATATATTGTTGCGCTTTGAGCTAAAAAAAGTTGCTAGTTCAGCTTCTAGGTGTTTGGGCGCCTTTGGACACCACCCCGGCGCCAACGCCTCCGCGTTTACTTGCGCCGGATTTTGGAACGGCTTAAGCAAGCCCACATAAAACACCGGGAGGGGGTGCAACTTTTCTCGAAAGGTTTAGTGTATACGCAAGGCCTCGCTTGGTCACGACCTTGAAAATTCAAATAAACCGTGGATGGAGCTTGATCTTGAAGATAGCAGAATGTGTAGGAGGGTTTTAGCATTAAATAAAATTAGGTCTCCGACCTCAATGTTTTCAACATTTCTTCTGCTTCTTCCGTATGCATATACTTTTTGCATGTCAGAGCTTTCAGCCATCTCATCGCAAACATGTCGTAAGACACTCAGTCTGGTAGACAAATAGTCACTTTTCACGCAGGGGGCTGACATCAGCTAGCCGCTCGGCTATTCCTCCCCAACCAAGCCCTGAGCCGTGGGAGAGCGGCATCAACCAGTTTGACCATCGGTATGCGAATGGTTCGCTGTTCATAGTCAGCTTGGTGCCTAGCATCCTGAAGATTGTCGATCAAAACTTCTTAGTGAAGAGTGGGTCTCTGTCAGAGACAATTGACTCCAGGAGTCCATGTTGTCGAAAGGCACGATCCACAAACAGCGTCGCTGTACCCACATTGTCGATGGTGTCCGGCACTACCGCAAGATGAGCAATCCAGCTCAAACGGTCCACAAAGACCACCACACCCGTGTTGCCCGCCGAGTTCTTCGACAGGCCAACCACAAAGTTCATA